AGCAGATAAAGAAATCACAAAACTCTACCGTAGCATGTTTGGATAATTATTGTTGAATTTGGAAAAGTGGCGCTGTGGTCATTATTAATTCAAAAAATTCAAATGGCAAAAGGGGTATATTGATTTCCTATTCAACGGCATTATCCCTCTTGCTCCGGTGTTCTGAAGAATCAGGTACTCCTCGGGGTGGGGTAACGCAGGTTACCCCAGCTTAAATTTGTCTGCTAACAACGGAACCCGATTTATTTCTTTTCTGTTTACATGTTAACCAGCGACAAAAAGCGAGTTCATGATTTTGGACTGTCCGTCCGTCCATCTGTGTAACTTTGTGCGCTTGTGTATGTATGTGTTGTGTATGGGAGGAGGGCCTCGAGACTGCAAACGTAGGTACACGGGGACGTAATGGGCCTTGGCTCATCTGTGAAGGAGTGGGAGAGTTTTATACCAGACGGAACAGTTATAAAATCTTTTGAGGAGACCGGTAGACAATGAAAAGTACGGATTTATATTATTTGCACATAGTCCAGGAAATAGAGACTGAAAATGGACCATTTCCTGCAAAACGAGAAGTAGTTCCAATTTTTTTGCATGTCATAAAAGAATATCTGGTGGTTAAGAATCCAAGTTTTCGACCTCCCACCCCCTGTGCTTCCCCCGTACCACCCTTAAAACCAAAGAAATTTGGTTGGTTTTTTAGTTTTTCAATCATATCTTTTTATAGATTCATTTTACAAAAAAATATTGTTATCAGAAATTGTAGACTATAAAATTCTACAGAACTTTGATATACACTAGTTTTTTGTGAAATTTTATTAAAAACGATATGGAGCTTCAGAGTTGCTTATATTTTTAAGAATTCTAAAATTTGTATGTAGATGTTTAACCAAATTTTATACTTTATCTCTATAATTATGAGTTTTATGAGAAAATATCTTGAACTTATCGTGGTATACATCCCCCTACGCTGCACCCTTACCAAAGGGAATGCATAACAATTCAACTTTCAACCCTTGCTAGTGGGGATATTTGAATCACTGTGAGATTGTAGGGCTTTCTAATATACGTTTGAAACAAAAAAATTAACTCACTTCAGTTCAGCTTCATCCTTCATCATCCTCCCCCCCTCCCCCCAACCGCGGTAGGAATAGATATGAAAGAGGAATAGAAAATATATGTTATAATAATAAGCGTTGTACTCTCTGACTAATTTCACAATCGCGCCACAAAAGCGTTTAAAAGCGAAACTAAACTGACGTGAGACATTTTTTTAATTTCAAACGTATATAATTAGAAAGCGCTACAATCTCACAGTGATTCAAATATCCTCACTAGCAAGGGTTGCAAGTTTCATTATTATGCATCCCCTTTGGTAAGGGTGCAGGGTAGAGGGATTTATACCATTATACCACGATAAATTCAAGATATTTTCTCATAAAACTCTTAATTATACAGATAAAGTATGAAATTTGGTTAAAACATCTACATAGAAATTTCAGAATTTTTAAAAATATTAACCAACTCTCAAGCTCTATATCTTTTTTAATAAACATTTCACAAAAAACTAATGTATATCAAAGTTGTGTAGAATTTTATGGTCTACAATTTCTGATAACAATATTTCTTTCTACAGTGAACCATTAAAATGATATGATTGAAAAACTAAGAAACCAACCAAATTTCAGGAGTTTTGGGGGTGGTACGGGGGAAGCACAAGGGGTGGGAGGTCGAAAACTTAGATTCTTAACCACCAGATGACTGTCTACAACATGCAAAAGAAATTGGAACTACTTCTCATTTTGCAAGTTAAAACCCTCTATTCCCTGGACTAACAGCATAATAATAAAATAATAATAAATGATGAGTATTTGCGGATACAGCCGAAATACGCCAATTTTCAACTGGCGCTCGAGCCCGAACGGTTCATCGAGGAAAAAAACTAAATAGTGGGGTCTGTAGGAAATTTTAAGTACTTTCATTTTGAATAGGAAGGTTATTTTCGAAAAGTTGATAGTTTTCAAGTTGTAAGCACAAAACTGCCAAAAAAATATCTTTTTCAACTTCTTTTGTATTTTTTTCAATGTTGCGTCATGAAATTTTGTTGGCAAACCTCAGATTCGGATTCAGCACCCCAAAAAACATATAGAATCAAAGAAATCAAAACTACCCCACAACTTTCCCGCTAGATGCCCGTTTGAGCACAAATGGCCTGTATTACTTGTAAGTGCCCTCTTGTAACAATCCGTTCGGGAGATATAAGGGAATATATCCGATCACGATAAGGGGTCGAGGAGGAGAACTATGGTTGGTAGAAATTAATTCCTTTCGTTGAGACCTTTCATTAGAGCACCATGAAGGATAAAACCAGTGCCCCCCCCCCCCCCCCTTGCCACTCCAACCTCGTCTGTTGGTAAAAGGACAGAAAGAAGGGCAGTAGTTGGTAGAAAACGATTCCTTTGGTTGAGATTTTTAATTAGAATACCATGAAAGATAAAATTAATTTCTAATCCCCCCCCTTCAGGCCCCGTCGCCTACTGTTTTCGAAAGAGTGTTGCGCGGGAAAGTTATAGTTTGTACAAACCGATTTATTTCGATGAGACCTTTCATTAGAATACCATGAAAATCTGTGACCAATTGGTTATCGTATGTCAAAGTTACGCACGTTTTACTTTCAAAAACAGCATCTCAGGAAGTAATTCATGCCCCCCCCCCCCCCAACGAAATTTGATGGCCGTATAGGCTGTCCATTGCAAAAAATTCCAGGACTCTAGGACCATTCCTCTAGAAGTAGTTCAAAATGGCAGACGTGGGTGCGGACGGACGGACGGACAAAACGCAAACAATAGCACATTTTTTTTCATTCCTAAAAAATGCGTTAAAAATGCTGAGGGATGAAAAAGATCTGTATAAAACAAAGGACAAACGACAAAATCTTAGAGTTGACGTAGAGGAAGAAGTTGACACCGACAACAAAGGTCTCAGTTTAATTAGGAAGAAGGTAAGATTGATAATGAGGGAAATGAAGAGTGGAAAGGCAATCGGGGTGGATGAGATACCAGTCTGACAAAGGACGTTTAATACTTATTTGTGCAACCAGTTGGGAAAAGCACTATGTTCGTAACGAGCGAGCGAGTTACGAATAGTAGTGTTTCCCAACGTGTTGGACACAATATGTTTTCTAATTGTGACATTAAAAGTGATACTTTTCATCACCAGTTGCGAAATATTTTACTTTTCACAACTGGTTGTAATAAAAAGAAATACAAAAGGGTACCGTGCTAAATTTGATCCTTATCTAAGCCGTCATTTGTTTATATATAATAAATTCCAGGTATAATTTCCTGTTCAAAATATACACACATCTCTGAAAATTTCTCTAAATCTCTAAAATTTTAATGCAGCCAAAGGAACAGTATCGTTGAATCTAAATGTGAAACTAATCAGTGAAGCCAAATATACAAAAATTCTTTGTCCAAACAATCCAAATTCGCTTCTTATCAATCAATATAATACAAAATCTGCTTCATGCAAATAATGTTCATGGGTCGATTCTTTTAGGAGTATTAAAACTACTTCGATTCCTTATGTAAATTGGCAACCTTATCTTCGTGATTCCCGTTTCTACTTAAAAAGCAGGCTGATAAACAGATTTTCTTCGTCGCGGAATGCCAGGATATTATCCGCAACGTAGTTAAAAATGTCGATGTCGACCGCAAATCAATTTTTTTGCACACCGATATTTGTACGGAAAAATAAGTTTCTTTTTCAGCGAATTTACGAGCCATTTTATGAACAAAATAAACAATACCCCAATAATCAGCCTTCGTAGGAAATGACAGCGAGACATTCACTGGCACCAACGTGTTCAGACGGTGCCTGCAACACTGGCGCGGGTGTACGGGGTACGGGGTTGGCAGCTACTGGCGGCATTTATTGGTACGTCTAAATGCGCCTTTAAACGAAAACCTTTAGTTTTTACTTCAAATAAACCAAGAATATTAATAATTAGCATGTACTAAATTGGGTACAATTTAGTACATGCTCGCTCCAATCAATAGAATGCTCGTGCTCCCACTTTTCTCGCTATTTTAATCTTGCCCGCTAGAAAAACCGAAACGGACCTTCTATTCTGAACGCAATGACCTCGACTAGCGTACTCTAATAACTAATAGAAAACCCGTATTTCGGCTTTTTCGTCCGGATCAAATATAATAAACGCAACTTTTAGATCCGAAGAGATCATGGCAACCGCGTTTGCTTTCCCAAATACGTTTCTTGTTATCGCTTGTTATCGCCAGAGGAGAGAGGGTATAAATACAAGTACATTCGTGCTCGAAAAAAGTGTTTTCACGGGTGTCTCAGGCGAGGAACCTACGTTAGTTTGTTTCGCACAACCAAATAGTGGGTTATCGAGCGAATCGTCTTCCCGGCGATATATAGAAAAACGAAAAGTATACAGAGAACCAAATATCACCTCCATAGAGCCCGTAGCAGCGCCCGGACGGGTTTCCACCAACAATTTGAGCACCAAGTATTCGAAAATTTCCACAACAGAAGACGACGAAAGTATTCTATTCGCGGTCCGTGCGAAGTCCAGCTGGGGAGCCAATTTCAGTCCCACACTGACCGATGAGTAGCCGCGGCATATCAATATAATTACATGACACGAACCACCCTTAATTTAATCGACCAGAAGAAGTATTGAAACAAAATTTGGCATCTACACATATTCTAAGACACAGAGAAGCGCTCAAAAGGTTTTGGACATACTCGCGCTAGTGCTGGTGTGCAGGTGGTAACTGTGCTGGTCACACCAAATTTGTTTTACATATATTTTAGTCGGGTAGTTTGGTAAGTGGTAAACTTTGTGAGAATAACTGAATTGTACCATTATACAGTCTTGGCGTTCAACCGGTAAACTTTTACTTCTGGAGGCATTGGGGGGGAGTCCAGATACAATTTTTTTTCATAGGGTTTTCGCAAGAGATAGGTACAGGAGATACTTTTCTGCTAGAAATGTTAAATGTTAAATTTATTACAATATAATATAGTACATAATAGTGGTTCGCATTCTTATTATTGGTGCACCGAACTACAATCTAATTAGTTTTTGTCGAGTTCCATGCAACCCAAAGACGTCTCGTCACACACTTCATCGCGTCAAAATACTTGGGCACGTATTCATTAGTAATAACCCTACGCAACCAAGGTAGGGATATCATCAGCCCGCAAGCGATAAAAAAGGGCCACAAGACTGAGAAGAACATCTAAATTTAATTAAAATTCAAGATCAAGAGAAATAGTACTGCTTTATCACCTGTATAACCCATCTGAAGATCGTCCACGCGCCCACACAGCAGAAACCGGAAAGAATTACCGCCTGAGTTTCCGCACTGACCAAACTTGTTGGGAAAATCGCTTCTGGTTCAAATCCGTTGCTCATTTCGCACACCTCCGTTTTGTCAACTAATTAGACTGTCAATTTTCCGTACTCGAAACGACTTGATTACATAAAAAGGGTTTTTTTTCAAAGCAACCCTCGACAACCCGCTGACCACTTCCTCTATTCCGGAAGTGACGTCAGCAAATCAAATCAATTTTGATGCAAGTCATGCGATTTAAAGTGCACCAGGTTTTGAGAGGAATCTCACGACGACGCAAAACTAAAAGCGCAAAGCCGCAGCGACGGAAATACGCAATCAAATTACGCATTACGGCACGTGTCGGCCACGTGATCCTCAACAGCTCTACAATTATATGTATCTAATTGTATTCGGATAATCATTTGATAGAATTAATGCATTACTCGAGAGCGGCCCCGCGTGTCGGTGTTGTGTTGCGTTAGTTGCGCGTAGGGGGCTCTATTTGTTCCACCTTGGGCGAGACACGTGCAGGTTTAGTAGGTCGTTGTAACAGCCCTTTTTAAATATTATTGTAATATAACAAAAAAATTACACCCTAAGGTTAAGGATGTACTTTTTACATTAGTTGCGTGTTTAAAGATAATCATACTGGCTATTTGTCGGTTCGTGAAGTGACGTGCGGTCTATTTTTCCGATGGTTGTCAGAACTTAGCATTGCATGACATCTTCACGACCGTAAACCCCACACACCCACATTTCAAGGGTCTCTCGTTATTACGATAGTTATTGTCACGAATTCGAGTTTAAATTGTTTTGATTCATCAACCGATACTTTAAGTTTATTGCCTTAGATATTATGCGATAGTTCTTTTTATTATTCTTTTCACTTTGAAACGTTTGCATGATGATTGATGACCCAACAAACGCCAAACGGAAAAATCCTCAGCACATTAAAGGCACAAACCATGTATTTTCGTGACGTGTTGCCTTACATGATCATCCATAAAACCTATGGACATTTTACGCACCAAATTGAGCCATATAAAGACACTTCCGCTGTGTTTTGCTCCGGTTTGTGCCGCATAATATTTGATGCGAGAATCGCTTTTCGATAACTTAGGCATGAAATAAAAGTACCTACAAACCTCTGTTTGAGTTGGTGTCAGCTATCTACTCTGTGTAAGCCTGTAAGCTATAATATCAAATTGATCAAAAGAAAAGTGGCGGGGGCGGCGTCGCTATCTACCGCTACCTAACAGTAGGTACAATAATAATAATACAATAAGCGAAAGCTTTAATTGTACCAACCAGTGCACCAGTAAGTAATTGAAAATGAAATTTAAATACAGAGCAACAATCCTAGCTATGTTCATTCCACATACCTGAAAACATATATTAGACCTGGAAATAGACTGGAGTAGTGGTACTATAATTGATAATAAAGTAACGTTACCACACATAAGTCTCTTAAACGAACATCTCGAGTACGAAATGAATTTAGATCGGCATGAAAAAACTTGACGAACATGTTGTCTTATTCGTCTTCAACGTTTGTAATTTACCGTTTTCCTGTTAACTTTCACAGTAAGTACTAGCTCTTAATGTTTTCAAATTTGCTATATTGTGATACACTTCTAGTCGCCTGATGATGGCTGTACGCCGAAACTATAGTCGCTGTTATTTTTAAAAACTTCAACGAATAAAACTATATGGGGAAGGTTTAGAGATTTTTGATAACATAATATATTTCAACCCCCATTTCGAGGAACGATGGATGGAGAAGTATAGATGTATGTGTTTTGTTTTTACTCAGTAGTTGTCCCATAGCAAATATTAGGTCTTGTGTGCCTCTACTTTTTCGAAGCCCAGGTTGTGACTTTCCTATAGTAGTATCTCAATCTGTTCCCGATAGTTCTAGTTAACACCTTTGCTGGTATACTTAAGTTACGGTCATTCTCCTATATTCGTGGCAGTCTTCGGCGTCTCCTTTTTTAACCAATGGAATTATTGGCACAATGTTCCAGTCAGTTGTTATCTCTTTTGCTCGTATTATGCCGTTTTGTAGTTCTCTGAACGCTTGTCTCGACATTTTACCATTTTTGCTGTGATATGGTCTTGTACTGGCGTTTTTCCTTGCTTTAATTTTCACATTGCTGCCATCAATTCTTCTTCTGATATCGGGCGAATAGCATTTTCATCTACTATTGCCGAATATCCTTCTTCTCAGTTTATTATTTCTTCTATTAGTTCTTTGGACTATTGTCTCCATAGATCCATAATCTCTGTTTCATCTGTTGGCCTTTATGTTTTGTAACCTTGGAATCCTTCCTCGCTTAAACCTTTTCACAGTACTATTAGTTTTCTTTCATTTTCTTTGGTTCTGTTACTAAGTGTTTGGTCTTATCCTTAATCGTTTGATACTTTCTAATGTCGTCTTCGAGTTTAGTTTGTAGCAATAATTCCTTTCATTTTATTTCTTTTCTTTTACCTTCCCTTGTATTTCCGATTACTACCACTTGCTTTTCGTTCGTCTGATTTCTTTAACTGCTCTTACGATATTAACTTGGAATTATCCCCATTTATCTTCTATTCCTATACGTTTTTTGAGTTCTTCAATTGGTACGTTTAGAGCTACCATCTGTAGGTGCCAAGTAATGGTCACTACATATTTCCACATGTCTCGTTATATCCGTAATTTATTAGTTTCCAGCCCTCTCTGCATGATATGTATGTACAGTCCATACCACGGCTGCCGGGACAGCCAACTTTACACGCCCTCCGAAGCATGGCAGTTAGGAGATCTTCTGTACCACTCATGGCCTAATTACTCTTATTAGGCCATGGTACCACTAAAGGTTAGAGTCCGAGTTTTACACCGTTGCGCCACACTGATTACTAGAGACCGGATTTTATGCTTTTATGCATTAGGTAGGTAGGTAAATATTGTACGCAGCTCAAAATAAATCAATAATTTATACGAACTAAGAAAATGAATCACATTGGCGCAAAGAAAATAGTGCATATTTATAATTTTTAGGGTTTTTGTGCATCTTATTAACTTTTTAAACCATTTTTATTACAAAACAAGTTTCCAGTGGTAGTAATTGCAACAATTATATTTTTATTTATAAATTATAAAATAGAAACAGAACAAAAGAAAACAATAAAAATAGAAAAAAAAAACAAAAAGAAGAAGCAAAGAATAAAAAAAAGAAATGAACTACAAAAAAATATGGCGCCCAAGTTTGTCAAATTATAAAACGTCGGCAGTGTTCAATTCAGCATTAATTTATAATGCAAGCACATTTTCAAGTTCAACAAATGAGATGGCGAATAGTGGCTGGGGAAAATGTTGAATTAAGGAAATTTCAATGGTTTTTTGTGCATTATTTAATTTTTCATGCATAATCTTCATGCTCTTTTGCCATATTTTTTGTGCATATAAGTATACCTATGTGCATTTTTGACGCGTTTTCATGCATGTAAGTCCTGTCCCTACTACTCTGCGTGCTATGAAGTAATCATTCCTCGATTTTTCCCTTCTAAAGTGTCCTCTCTCACATACTATTATCACTTCTTGGGTGTCCTCCATGTTTTTCCATATTATACCTTTGAATGTTGATATTGTCGTTACTTACTTGTTTTTCCGTTCATTTCTCCTAAAACCAATGTTATGCCTGTTACGTCGTCAATTCCTTTTTTGAATCATTTGAAAAATTCCTCTTTCCTTTCTTTCTTCACGTTGTCATCTTGTCCATATGTTATTGCAATGGTACTTTTTTATTTCCTGTTCTTTTTGAATTCTAATTAATTTACTTCTAGCACCATTAGTCTTTAAAACATGTTTTCTTCTTTTTCGGCATTGTTCAGATTTTCTGGACTTACTACTAGCCATACTCCGACGAGTTCCCATTCCGTAAATTCCACTACCTACCATAGCATGAACCTCTTAGTTCCCCAGTTCCATTGCCTTCCATTTTGTGTCCGTTATCCGAAGATCATCCAATTGATGTAACATTATCTCTTCTAGTAGTTCCTTTTCTTTGCGTTCCAGGTACCTATTTTTATTACATGTCTTTTTGATTTCGGATGTTTTATATCATTTACTAGTCGACCTTTTTCGCTTTATTATTAGCCTGATTTTTCCTAGTTTATTTCTTTGACAAGTTTTATTTTCTGTGTACATTCTTTTCCAATCTGTCTCAGTCGTTATCGTTGCTTGAGTCGTCCTTCTAGTCTTCACCTCTTACTTTCGCTAGTTTTTTTAGTCACTACCGGAGGTCGTCGCACTAATTATTTTACAACTCTGTCCTTTTGCTTTGTTCCTAATTTTTCAAAGTTCGTCATTCATTTTCAGTTTATTATAACACGAGTTGTGCTGTATCTCCTTGCCTTTGCGCCATCATCATCATGTATTTTATAAGTTGCTTCCTTTGGACACGTACTTCATTATATCTTCTTCTAAATACAAACCTCTGTTCTTTTTAATTTGTTTTTGTTTTTTCTAATATATCCATCCATCTGTTCCATGACTTCAATTCTATTAATATTGTCTTTCGTTGTTTATTCCTCCTCCAATTCTTCTTATTTCAGTGATATTATTATTATATTATAGTTTTAATTGTAGCTTACTCATTACCTCTGTGTTTCATTTTGATTTTCCTCTATATCTTGTATTCGTGTTAAATAGGTAGGTAAAGACGAGGGTAAAGATCGACAAATCTTGCAGAGACTTTTCTAATAGCGCAAGGTTTCATCTCATTTCATGAACATTTCGTTCGTTTTTGTTCCTTTCATTTTTTATATGAATCTTTAAAATTGGTTTCGTTGCAACTTTCTCGATACTAAATAATAACAATTCCAACGTGATATTAACGTAAGTACCTATATAATGATTAATGATAAGATCAAACTCAATCCAGCTCCAAATTTTCTCCTTAAAGTTAACTCGATTAAACCTCTCCAAATTTAACCCTTTTTTTTTCAAAAACTTAAATCCGTGATCACGTTTTCCGGCCCTTTCTGATTCCTAATCCTGTTTACTTTCTAGCAATGAACCATTATCACCACTGACCTTTCCGCAAGGAAGCTTTTATTCAATGAAAACAAATTAAGTTTATAAGAAAATGACATAGGAAAAAAATTAGCTCTTTGTCCATGGGCCTTTATATAAACGCATGTACAGGGTGTAGGTACTATTAATAAAGATTACAGACCAAATCCATGGAACCGTTAATCGCTGGAAATTATTTACCAGTGCCTAGGAATGCCGCCAGAGAACGTACGATTCACGGTAAAGTAGCAGCATGATCTTTTTCCTAAAATATACTCAACAAACATGCATAAAAAATACATGCATCTCTATCTTGTATGAATTTAGCATCATTTTGATGCAGTACAATATATTGCTCTAGCTCATAAAATATGAGGGGTCAGAGAAGAGGAACATCTCTTCAAGAAATAAAATGTAACTTCGTTTTGGTTAACCAATTTTCATATAATTGATCATTTTGGAAAGTGCGTGGAGGACGCGGTTTGAGGTTAGCATAAACTAAGCAGAGAACAGAGAAAACGGTTAAACTTTTTGAAAAAAGGACCTTAAATCAGTCACTTCTGATACAACTGGAGAACGCTCTGGTCACCCCAACAATCAACACGCGAATGCCCTTAATCTATCTTTGGGACCAGACGGTAACTTTGAAAGCTAAAACGCGAAACTCTGAGGACCGTACTGGTCGCCTTGAATACTAAAACACGAATCTCCCAAAAGCTCTCGGAAAATCATCCTCCCTCTTAATCACGCCCAAAATGGTGAATTATCAACACCCACTTGTTTATTGATGGTTAATGTCTTTTTTACTACCAAACTCGCACTATTTTAAAGGTCGTTAATAAATTCAAAACATGTACGTTACACCAAGAACAATATTTGTCTGGAAAAAAATAATTTCACTTTCATAATTCTACAACCAGAAAAAATCCACTTTACGTATTTTTGCGAGAAATTCGAAAACTGTGGGGTAGAGTATTTATACATAGTGCAGGCAAGTGACCTGTTATTATACAGGGTGGCGCAATGGGTATTGACGATTTCTGAGACGCCACTGTCCGAATATGAGTAAAGTGGAGGGGGTAATGAACCGCTTAAAATATTCCGCATGCAATGCAGTTTAGTAGCCATGGTTAACTGTCCAGTGACCAACGCAGCTTTTGCGTTAGAGCGTATCACCGATCGGAGTCTGTTATTGAGGTCCAGCGACAGTTTCGGCGCGAACCAGATTTAACCAGCCACGACTATTTATTATGAGGATGTTTGAAGGCTAGGGTTTTCGAAAATAGACCTCAAACGCTAGAAGCTTTAAAAAGCAACATTACTTGCGAAATCAGAGCCATAAACCAGGAGATGCTACTACGAGTTACAAAGAGTTTTTTTTTCATTCCCTACTGCAGGAATGTTTAGACAAACGTGGTGGCCACGCGAAAGACATTATTTTTAAAAAATAATATTTGTTGTAAAGCTGCATTATATGTTTAATAAAAATATATGTTTCTGACATTAGTCGTTTAATTAGTATAGTAATAACACGCCTAAAACCATCAATACCCATTGCGCCACCCGTTATAACATTGTAAAAATCGGCCCATTTATAATTTCAAAAAAATCACAATACAAACGAACTTAATTGTTGTAAATATCTTGGCTTCGCTATAGAGTTTCAATGGCATTGTTAGTAAAGTATTAAAAACAACTCTCTTTGGGCATTATAGAACGATTTTTTTTAAGTAGTCGCTAGTTTGGAATAAAAAAAAACGATCTATTACTGAAACAGTCACTAACAAGGTCATGTAAATTTCGATTTTTAATTCCATAACAGTATAAATACCATTAAAATGGGATTTTTGCGTTAATATAGATATCGGAAAACGGGATTGGGATTATATAAAAGTTAGATTACGTTTTACATCGCGTTATATTAATATAATTTCCTGATTTTTAAGTAAATTAAAACTTTTAATTAATACATCTGCCAATAAATTACAGCCGACGGAGTTTTTTGTTAGTAATTACGTATTTACTTTGAAGTTTCTTCTAATATTCTTGATAGTAATTATGACTGATGATGGAAATTTAAGCACCAAGCAGGCGCGGGAATAATAACGAATTTTATTTATTCGTCGAAGAAAGGGGTGTATTTAAATGGGCCCATTAATAATTCCCATTATTTAAGTTTAAAACAAAATGTTATCCGCTAATCAAATTAACGAAACTATATATTCTATTAACTTAAATTCAGTTACGTAAATAAAATGAGTTTTCAACTCAATTATTGAGGACGATAAAAAACAATTAAAAGGGTATAACAATTACAGTTCAAAATGCCAAACACGAGTGCCACTACAACTCTAACACAATTTCGATTGCAATTCAAAAATCTATACCATCAAAACGCCACTAATTTGTTGAAGGCGAATGCGGCATCAGATAGGGTGGCGAGGGCGGGCGTCACGACGCTACGTCCTGCGCAAAGGACAGGCATTCCAAATGTGGCGTTAGGACTCCAATGGCAGATACTCAGTGTACATTTCAGTCAACCCTCGAGAACAGGGGTGCATCTATATAATCTATATCCTTAAGTGTTGAATATAAGCAAAACATTACCTAAATTTCTTATTAACTGGGTGTTTTAAATGTGCACCCGAAGTTAATTAATTATTAATACCTAAATACACAATGGCTTTCCCTACTGAAGTTAAACAAGCGTAAAACATGTAATGTTTAAAATCCTGTGCAACTCTTCCAATGTTAGTTTAAAGCAATAAATATGATTAAACGACGTTTTCGTTTTCCACAATTAGTGATCGTTGTTGACGCGAACAAAGGACAGCAATAATAATTTTCCATGTTCACCCTTATCATGTACCGAGAATAAACTTTTTTTGAACCGTTATGTACTCGCCGGACAAAATGATGGGCTCGAAGGGCCCTACTGGATTACATGGACCGATTACGACGACGGGAGCCTGTTTTCCGGGCAGATACTCACCGACCTATAGAAGTCCGGAACCTATGGGAAGGCGATGTATGCCCAATCCGTCGGTAAGTTTACGTCATTAATTATTTATAACTTACATGTATGCGTTAGATCAAAATTTCATAACGAAATCGGCTCACTGACATTTAAATCGAAATCTTTTTAATGGAGGTAATACCTTGGAAGTTACTTAAGGGAACACAAAGGGGATGTTAAAGACGGGGATTGCAATACTCGTAACCTGCGTTGATGAAAATAATTAGATTTAAGAGATAGTACTCATTATTTAAGCGTCCCGACTCGCGTAAACTTTTTTGAATAAATGGTTTAATAATACCGGTTGGAGGGGAAAACGTTGATTGCCATTTTTTGGTGATTGCTTTCAGTTGTTCCGGCGGTATTAGCCAAATTTGTTCTTTTTATTACTTTTTCCAATTGTTTCTTTACATTGCCGTTTGAGTGTTTTATCGTGAACCTAGAGATTGACAAATGTTATTGCTTTAACATTATTACTTTGATCTACCAAATTGTGAATGGCGCATAAAAAAATACCATTATTTCGGCGATGTATAATGATCCAATAGTCATGGAGTTGATAGTTAGACTCCAAAAAATGTTAGTCAACCGTCCATTTTAATGGAGAATCCCGAAAAAGATTTTAACGCTTTGCTGTTATAGAATTTATCCGCGAATTTATTTGATCTGTGGTAGAATAAAATTAACTTAGGATAACAAAGTGCCCTCTTTGGTCAATGTATGTTCTACTACACCCCTTCCAGCCTATTTGCAAGTATTAATATTAATTCCAAAAGTTTAAACTGCTATATAGTTCATTTTATCTTGCTTGATTTTCTGGCAACGTTAGTAGAGATTGTTATCTGCTATCTGCAAAGAAAACAGAGCCTTCCTCCAGAATGAAATAATATTCGTACTAAAAGCATATTTAACTGTGAACACCTTTATGATATCACAGTAATTTTTATTCCTTTCAAATCTGTTTTTCCAATCCACCTCTTTCCGTCAGGTCATTTTGCACATCATTAAAATAACAAATTAATACTACGGATGAGTGTATTCGAACATTAACATGTAATTTGTGCTGGTTTTGTGCAAATCAAGCAGTGGTGAAATTTTGTGGCCGTGATTTTGGTTACATAACTCGAACCATACCTATCACATAGGTACTAGACTTTGTTACAAGATGGTTGGCTGTGGTTCACTGGGAAAAAAGGTAACTACTAATGCCAATGGTTTACAATAACCAACAGCAATAGAGTGTTCTCGTTATTACTCCGAAATCAAAATTGAAGTATACAGCTTATCCATTTTTCGCACTCAGCACTGGAATTTAAAGAGTTGGTTGAATTCGGGAAATGTTAAATTCGACTAATATTATGTAGAATAAAAAAAGAATCTCGGTTTTTGCATTTTTTGGAATAATCTATTTCACAACAAAACAATTAAAATGTACACCTTAGTCTACTACATTACCAGAACACTTTATTTCAAGAGGAATTTGAATGTAATATTGTTATTAATGTATAATTTTCAATTTGGTGATATAATTGGTTGCAATGTTTTTTTCTTTATTGCCGTTAAAGTAGAGTGTCGCCGACGTTATAGTACCAAACGCCGCATTTTATTGGTTTACCGTTAATGGGTAATTTTTGATTGGCCTTTTTTAAAAAGTATAGTTTTGGTTTAAATGTAGCTTGAATATTCTCAAACAAAGATTCCCAAACTAGTTTGGGCCAGAGAAAAACGAACTGATACGTTCAAATAAGAACTTGTGTTGAAATAGGGGTCGATGTTTGGGCCTCTTCGGCCCACAAAATCAGTTTTCGTTTAGGTCGATCCCTAGGAAACCAATTCGACCCCGAGGGCTCGATGTCGTCCACTTTGGAAATCCCTGCTCTAAAGGGTAAAACAAAGCGAAAATAAATTTGATTCGTCTCAAAAATAGGACCAATATCTTGATACTCCCTTTTTTAATAAATCTTAGCTATAGCTTATCGGTTAGTAAAAATCCTCGCATTTTAAGACTCCGCTAGGGCGGGCTTATTTCGCACAAATACTGCAAAAAATGGGGTATTTTACGTTTGAATCTTCAGTTTTTCGGTGTAGGTAAAATCTGTGTGTCCACGGATGGAAAGGGAATAGGCAATAGGGAAAAAATCTTTATTTTTCATTTTACGACAAAAAGTCATTCTTCAAGGGATAAGTAGTGTAGTGATTCTTGCAAGACAAGACAAGACTTGTCTTTTCTTGTTTCTTGTAACTTCTTGCAAATTTATTTCTGTCAAGAGACTTCTTGTCTTGTATTTTGTCTTATCTTGGAAATTTATTGCAAGTTTTGCGGTGTATGACTCCTTGGTATGGGAACTTACGCATATATTAGTCATGTAGGCCAAACAACCTCTTCGCCATTATTTGCCACTAATTCTTTATTTAAAGTAAAAAATTTCAAAAATTGTTTAAATATTTTATTAAAAACGCTGAATATCGGATTAATGTGAATATCACCATTTGCTTTGAAATTCAAAACACCCGTAAATTTTTTGAGTTAGTTTATACAGCAGTTAAGATGTCAACCTTTACCTTTCATTTTGCAAAATATTATGCTTTTTTAATTGCCTTTATTTTATAGTGCGCGGAGTGTTAGCTAATTAGCTACTCTTCCCACTCAACCCACTATACAATCACAAACAGCCATGCCTTACCTGGGATTCGAACCCAGGACCCTTGTAGCCAAAGTTAGAGCTCCTAACGTAAGCTCATCCTTTAAATGCTTACACTATTTTCCAGGACGCCGCACTTTCAGATATAGGTAGACTGAAGTATGATCCATAGTCAATCATGTTCCCAAAATTGTCATGAAACCTTCATTTTCATGCCTACTTCATTTCAGGAAGTTTTCCGTGTCCCTGATAATGGCAGTAACATTTTACCAGACTACTTTTCCTGCCGCCTGTCGCTTTATCAGACTCATTTTCCTCGCACCTGTAATGTGATTTAGTTTAAATGTCATCTCTGACACAATGGTATAACTGAAATGTTCTACACTCTAGAGGGGCGTCTAATTGTATGCATCCAAAATAAGTTGCTAAAACAAATAAAGATGTGATATGGATTAATTTCAATATTTTTGCTTTAGCTTCACAGAAAATAAATCTTTTACGCTCTTAAACTGTTACCGGCACTATACCAGTTGACAATATCAACTTTTCTTCAGTTGAATAGATCGCACACGAAAGCAAATAAAAATACGGAAGCTGCAGCAACAATATTCAAATTGGTTAATATGATAGCCAGATCTTTAGTTATTTTGGTTGCATAAAACTAGGCGTTCTTCAGAAGGATGTTGTCACTTAAAAGTAGACATGGAGAAAACAACACACAAAAAATCCCTACGTCTACTTCTTACAAATACCACTTGTTTTTTTTAAGATGGGCCATACGACAATGTACAGGCGTTGAGTTATTTAAAGTGGGTCAGAGGGAAATTTACATTGCATCAATTGTTTCTAAAACAATAAAACAATAAATTTATTCAAATGAGATATAAACGTATAAAATTACAATCGGTGCTCGAATTGTTTTCCACCGGCAAACAAACAATGTCCGATACTCGGCACTGAATAGCTCGCATACCACTCATGTTACTATGCCCATTCTTGTACAAATTGTACTACATGAACACCTTTTCGAGAAGCGGAATACATGTTGCTGCTTCGTTGATGCATTTTGAAGGATCAGATTGAGAATGTCAGTGAAATAACTCAGCGCAAGGCCTAGATTTGCGAACAATTGGGCCAATGTAAATTTCCCTATGGCCCACTTTAAATAACTCAATGCCTTTACATTGTCGTATGGCACCCTGTATGAAAATTGAAATTTTATATTAATAAAGACGATTTTGGGAAAAATGTAGTAGAAAACCTGTCAGTAAAGTTAAACAATTTCACTCGGAAATTAAAGTACTCTCTCGTACTTCAATATTTCTTCGCCATTAATGATAAATTTTCCTGATTTTTATGTAGTCACTTGTCTTGCGCAAGACAATACAAGAAGTAAGAAACCTACGATCTATACTGAATGGTTTTTATTTATTTACATTTTACAAAAGTTAAGATAGCCGATTTTGTATACAAACATGTTACGTGTAGATCTTATTTATATGTGCCACTATTCTAATTTCCTGAAAGCATTTTCCAAAATGTTAACCGAAAACAAGCGTATTCATTAATTAATGCAATGTTAATTGTTATGCTATTGGAAATGCGTCTTAATAATACGCTATGAAACTGTGCATGCGCACATTTGATGTTTACAATATGCGATATCCTTGTCTTTATTAGAAGAATCTTTGGTTAAAATTAAAAAAAAATGTTTGTTTAAATAAGAAAGTTCACATTGCGCAGTCTGAGCATGCGCACGTCTGATTTTTACAATATGAGATATGCTTGTCTTTAGTGGACACATCTGTGGTTAAAATTTCAAAAAATTCTTTATGCCTAATGTACACTGCCAAAAGTCATTAATTTACTGATAATTGTTAATTAATAAACACTAAATTATACAGGAAAATAGACTTTCAAGTTTTAATATTTTCATTGAACATTGTTTGTCGTGTAATCAATTATAATTAATTAAACTTTTGGTATTATTAGTCACTTAGTAATTATTCAAGAGGACTGATAGATAATTTTGTTTTGTTTTGATTTTTGTTATTGGTATCAGTAGTTTACGAAAAAAATTTTAGTTTACTTTGACATTCTTTTTCCGTTTTTTTTGTAATAAAACCTAGTATAATTTTTGTAGGTTATATATACACAGAAAAAGAAAGTGTTTAGAGTGCTCGAGCTAGGCAGGTTAAAATACAATCTAAAAATGGAATAAGATGCAGATTCTCAGGACAGTTTGCAAACTTAACCCAACCTTTTTTTTTACAGAAAGAAAGATAAATTAATTTACATTACCGCTCGTTAGTATTAAAGACAAGGGCAAGAGATAATCGAAGGTGTTTTACAGTTAATTACACTTCATAAGTTCCTGTATTTCAAGT